TTAAATTGACATAAATTTACAAGTTATTTTACTATTTTTAACCTAATTTTGACTTAGAGGTATGCATAGGATTTTGTCTTGACGAAAATATTTGTATTTGAGAACTTGTGTGCATTGTTTTAGGCTAACCTTTTATATAGGGTATTCTACTGACTTGGTCTTATCATGATACATTTATTTAATTTTTATCATGCCTCTAACCATTTTTGCTTTGATCAATAATTGTGTGCTTTTTATGACCCCTTTCTTGTGTGCTTTGTGCATGATCTTCTTGAATTTTGTGTGATGCTTGATTATTTTATTCTATATGATTTGTACTACTGACTTGCATGCCAACATATCATTTAAGCATGCTCTCTCTTCATCTAATCCCCTTCTTGACTCTCCTTTTGCTTTAGGATTGATTTAGGATTTTGTTTTGACCTAGTTTGTATGCTTTGGTGTTTGTATCATGATCTTAGTCACTAATTGAATTTTATCTTGATTATATGGTATGTGTTGAATTTATAAAATGTCAATGTATGATTTATCCTCTTCACATCACCTCTTTCCTCTCACCTGTTTGCTTGTTAGTATTGCATGAAGACTTATGTCCACTTAGGGTTTTCAAACCAACTTTCCTTGAATGATTTGATTGTGAATCTTTCTCAAGTTTAATCATGTGATGATGAACCTCACATGTATTCACTTATAACTTGTATGATATTTCATCTCCTTCATCTCATTTCACTTTCTTAAGCTCACTCGATTGCTTATTTTTACTTTCTACTTCTTCTTCTCCACTCCACTTCTTTTGGTGTGTTTAAGAGTTTCATCTCTTGCATGTGTTTTGTCACATAAATGTTGTGCGTGCTTGATGTACTGTCATATTAATTTTTATGTTTTATCATCTTTCTTATGCTACTTGATGGCTTGCCATCTTGATGCATACATGATGTTTTACCATCTCATTTTTTGTATAATGTTCTATCATCACATCTTTGCATGATGTTTTGCCATCCTTGTTAGATGTTTTGTCATCTATACTTAATACGTGCTTCTTGATATTTTGTCATCTTTGTTGTGATATTTTGACATCCCTCTCCCTTTTTTTATTATATTTTCCTCTTGTATGCTCCCCATAGGATCTTCAGTTCACCCTTATCTAAATTTGAACTAAATAGACCTTAGGTTTGCTATCTATGCATGACAACAATAGGTAGATATTTCCCTCTTATCCTCAATAATAGGATCAATGATGCATGACAACTTTAGGGTTTTTTTGCTAGTCTTCTTTAGTCTTTTCTTTCACTTTTGCATTCTCATTAAAACTAAAATTTATTTTTCTTTCAAACTTCTCAAAACACTTAATAATAAAGACGTGATCCTTGTGTCATGAGCCTTACATGAGTCTTTTAGATACGATATATCTGGCTCGACCACCCAAAGTCTCTCATATCGTAGACTTTAATATGGTTCAAATCACAAAATCCTTTCTCAAAGTAAAAAACACAAACCAATGCAAATCTTTTTGTCTTCGAACTTTTTCTTTTAAAACCTTTTTCAAAAGGGTATGCTTCGCCAGTATTTGTTCATAAAAACACACAATAAATGGAAACTATTGAGCCAAACTACAGAGCTTTGATTCCTTAAAAGGGATACATAGACATCTGGTCATGGGGCTCAGTCGAGCGAACTTTGTAATATTTTCTTATTTTCCCCATATTTTCTCTTTTGCATGTATTTCCTCTTAGCATCTTTGCTTTTCAGCATTAAGCTTTAGACTTAGACTCTTAGAAACCCATGGATTAGAACAAATATAAGTGGATCCTGTGGAGTACCACAAGCGTGTGGGATGCTAATACCTTCCCCTCACATAATCGACTTCCTTACCCGATCTCTATGGCTGCAAAACTGTGATTTCACCCTTCAGGTTTACTCGATGCTCACCTTTCTCTTTCGGCGGGATAAAAAATGTTTGATGGCGACTTCATTGATTTTATTTTCGATGATTTGTCTAGTTGTTTCACTATTTAGATGTGTTTGAATGCCGTGTAACATCTCATGTGAGTTATCATATTTTTTTGGATGTCGTTTAACACTCCAGGTATGAAAATGTGTAATTTAATCTTCTTTTCAGTAACCCGTGTTACGGAGCAGAATTGATTTATATTTTTATGAAATGTGACACCCTTGTGTTGGTGAATATTTAATTAATTCATTTAAATTAATTCGTGGAGTTTAGAAGGATGTTACATGTACAACACATATGAAGTTACTGACCTCTTGCCATCTTTCCTCATAATCAGAGCGTCTCCCATACCTTTAGTTGCTAGAGTATTGTCATTTGCAAATTTGACCATATTCTTCATTGAGGGCTTTATGTTGACAAACCAATCTTTCCTTCCAGACATATGTGATGAATATCTTGAGTCCAAGTATCATCGGTCTTTGAATACTTCTTCATCTTTTGTTATCACCATCAACATCATTTCTTCTTCTTCATATTTTGTAAACTTTACATCACTTTCTTGATTCTTTCGTTTTTATGGACAATCATTAGAATAATGACTATATTTCTGAAAATTCAAGCACTGAATATGACTTTTGTCAGATTTTCGACCACCAACTCCTCCTCTACCTCCAACACCACCTCTTTGGTTGCCTTGGTATAAAGGTCTTCTCTAATTCGACACAATTTCTCCCTGCTGTACCAGTCGAACCATGTTCCTTTGTCTTTCTTTTCTCTTGATGATTGATCCTACAAAGTCACATTACTCTTAGACTTCCCTTATCTTCTTTCAACCATTCTTTGTTCATGAGATTCAAGGGTTTCTTGTAGCTCTTCCTTTGTTAATTTCGACACTTCTATGGCTACCACCACGTGGTCAAACTTCAGATCCAAATACCTCAAGATCTTTGCAACAATTGATCTCGTTGTCAACACTTTTCCATATACCTTAATTTGATTCACCAGTTTCGTAACCCTAGTAAAGAAATCAATTATGCTTTCACTTTCTTCCATTTGAAGCAATTCATACGTTCTTTTGTGAGTTTGTAACCTCACATCTTTTACCTTTTCTACACCTCCAAAAGACTTTTCTAAAATTTCCCAAGTTTCTTTCGAAGATTCTATATCACTAACATTTTCGAAATTGTCTGTACTCAGACATTGATGAATTATAAAGAGAGTTTTATAATTCTTCTTCTTCAATTCCTTGTGTGCAACCTCTTCTTCTTGCATTGCATTTTCTTTAAGCGTTTCTAACTCTTCTTTCACAAGATCCCAAAGATCTTGACAACAAAACACAACCTTCAATTTATTACACCAATTCTCATAGTTATCAATTTTTAGAATTGGAAGACTTGTTGGAAAATACCCATTCAGATGATTTGTCATCATGATTTTCTTACCTTGAATTGCTCAATTGGAGCTTTTGATACAAATGTTAGAAATCCACCAAACCTATGAAGAATTTATATTAGTCTTGATGAACAATATTGTTTTTCAATGCACAATAACAATGAAAGAACTAATTAAGGTTTACGAAAATAAGGAGAAGATGATGATTTTGTACAGAGTAACTTTCTGCCCACAAACTGTGAAAAAATCTTATTCACTTGTAACTGTAAATTATGTGAATATTCAATCCGAGTTGTTACAAAATAGGGGTTACTCCCTCTATTTATAATTGAGCAAACTTGCTCCCCAAGGTAAAATCCAAAACTATAAAAGTTCAAAATACCTATTTTAGACCTAAGTCAAAATCCTGTGTCAAACAAATTGCTTCGACACTTCGACATTTATTATAATTCGACACACACTTTAGACTATTTCAACACACTCTTGTTTCTGTCAAACAACACGTTGCTTCGACACAAAAGATTACAACCTCAATAAACCTTGCAATACATATCTCCTCCATCCATCCCAAAATATAAGAAAGAAAAATAAAAAACACTCTTATTAAGAAAAGTAAAAACATAATCATTTAACTTGTAGTTTTCTTGAAATGAAGTGTTTAGAAAGATATAAAAACAATTATAATTGGTTGTTGGTTATACAAAAGATGAGAGATAATGTAAACTAAATAAAATTTGCATTTAATTTTACCTTGAAAAATGTTGAAAGGTGATAATGTAAACATGTAGTATCCAAGATTCTAGTGATTCAACTCCAAAGTTTGTTGTTTTGGAGAGTGTAGTTTGTATGGAAATTGCAAAAGCACTTACATGGTCTGAAACAGTCACCTAGTACAAGGCTTGTGTGACTAATTAAAGTTACACCATAGTTTTAGATAAATCAAATCAATTTGTCCATTACAGATAAAAGCTGACTTTCATATACAATTCAAGAATCTAAACAAAAAAACAAAAAACAAAATTGTCTATAAAAGATAGAATAAACTCTTGGTTTTACAGATATTTATTTTAGCCGTAAACATTTCATTTTTGAATTTTTCTGTCAGATCTTGAGTAGGAATAACAGCACCAACGGTAGTTGAGTTGAATGTTCCATGATGTTTCCTGCAGTACAATAAGAGAGAGATGGAGCAAAGTTAGGAAAGTTCCAAAACAAAAAATGTATATCCATTTGTCATGTAAATTTCTATAATCTAATAAAGGGACCACTAGGAAACAAATAGTGCAAACCTTTAACTAAAGAAACATTTTTTTTACTAGTTTAACATATACTTTCACATTTTCAAATCACAAAAAATAAATCTTATTCATAAGAAATGTGACACAAACAACACTTTGTCATATTTATATAAGAAATGGTTTAGAGTTAAAGGTATACTCCACCTAAAGGATAAAGTTATCAGACACAATAATTGACAAGCAATATGAGAAAAAGCAAAAGCTATCTTTATTGTTGTGATGAATTCATGAGTTAAAATATTCTAGTGATAACTACTTTGGATCTTTTTTTAGGCAACAAATAAGTATTGCATAATTGATTTGATTCACGATTTTATGAAACTGAAAGTTGAACCATGTTTACCTGTGTGTGTGGTAGATTATTCTGTTTGTTGGCATTGTTTGATGGCACCTAACCTTTTGGCAAACATGGAAACCATTGGCTCTGAAGCTCTCAAACTTGAGAAAGGCGTAACAACATGATCGACATTATGCTTTGATATGTGATCACTATTTCTCTTCTCATCCTTTAGGCCAATGCAAGAAGACTCTTCATTGATATACCAATTAGGCAGTTTTGTAGTCTCTTCAACCTTGCAGTTATTCAGATGAGAAATCGGAGAATGTAATGCTATCCTTTCTTTCTCCTTACTAAGCTCCAAATCGCAACAATTTACATTCTCCCATTTGTTATTTTTCCAGTGTCCATGGCTGTTAACAAAATTTAAAGGCCTAATCTGAGCAAGAGCCGAAGATTTCACGTCATCGTGACTAGTTTGTGAGTATCCTTTCATCATGTTTGAAATCAAGTTCATGAATGAGCTATCCCTTTCGACATGAGATTTAGAATATGTTGAAGTTTCTTGAATTTGCATTTTGACTCTTTTACTCTCAATTATCACTTCTTGTTTACATCTCTTCCTACTTGCCAAAAACAACTCCTTACTATGATAGCTTTCACGACTTAAATGAATTCCATTCTTATTGTATGGTAGCCATATTTCATTGACCTTGGATTCATTCTTATTCTGGATGGATTTTGAAACAAGAACTCTGCTTGATGCAGCAGAAGTAGCTGCTTCGCAGTTGAAAGATGATATTATATATGTTCCTAGAGCACCAGAACATTTTTCTTCGATCACGTGTTTGACTCTAGTATATGAGCCATCCTCTAATTCAACCACCTTGTTGTCAACACAAGTGTACATTCCTTCTTTGCAATGTTTCTTCGGTGAAACATTTTGTTCCAAGCTAGGTTTAGATTCATTTTCTTGAGGCCTTCTGTCAATATGGCCTGAAGATGATATTTCAAACATGAAAAAGACAATTAACTTGAAAGTGTCTTTTACTAGGATGCATATTGTCGCATAAAATGGCACGTAGAAATCGATAATAGTTTAAGAAAATGAAACTAATTGAATGTAATCATACATTTGATATAGGATTTATTTTCCACAATGAGGAAAATTGTTGTAAAATTGTGTAGAAATATCAATAGTTCTAGAATGTGTTCCAAATAGCAAGATGCACATGAGGGATGTAATATTTACCTGTATCATGATCTGCATATGGTTTACATTCTGGAATGATGACAACTGAATCACTTGTTGGAGGCCTTATAGGAATATTTGTCGAAGAAATATCACTCTTGGCACATATTCCAGTAAGAGGTTGAACAAAAACATCATCCATAGGATTTCCACAAGTAACACTTTGTAGCAGAGCAAGAACCATACTACTAGGCTCAACATCGCGTAAAAGCGATGTATTTTTGTTCTTAAAACTCGAATCAACACATTTAAGACCGAAACCTTTATCTGGACACCAAACTATTTCAGATAAAGGATCAGTGGCAGAAATTGACGTGTTTGCCTTAAAAGCTGCATTTGCACCTGCACTTGACTTATTTCTCAAATTTCTCTCATGACATTCACTAGAATAATTCATCAACATGAGTTCTAAACCTGTCTTTGGTTTCATTTTGTTTATTCTTTTGAACTCAACTTCAAATATTCCTGAAATATCGTTACAATCAAGATTAGGCAACTACTAGTTCCTTAACACAGTTTTCTATCAAATTACTTGATTAAAATCTTATTTCAAGGCCAATAGGATAAGACAATAAATTATTGTGAAATTTAGTTTGAAAGATTAAGACAAAATTAGTATTATCCTATTAATTAATTAATTAATGAGGTGAAACAAACATATACATAAAAAAATACACTATCATTGCTGAATTTGCAGAAACAGAAGCATAAATAATAGTACACACATATTGTAATACTAATAATAATCATAATAGGGTAAGATACAGAAATGGAAAGAAAGAAGAAAAAAAAGTACAAACCTGTTTGATTGGTTTAGGACACAGAAAAGATGTGTGTTATGTGGATTAGAGAGAGAAGAGATGATCTAGTAGTAGCAATCTTCGAGGGTATGGATAGGCCACGTAAATCTATATCATTCCACTAACATACATTGACATGGACATTACTTCATTCTTGCTAGCTGTTATGGTTAACATTAATACTCCATCCGTCTCCAAATGAATATCATTTAAAGTTTTTGGATATAGATTAAATAATACAATTATAATATTATAAAATATTACATTTTTACTGTATTAATTTTATAAATATGTTAGAACTAATGTAGAGAGTAATAATTAAAAGACAATATTAGATTTAATTTTTTTTCTCTATTAAACTTTTTTATTTAATCATGTTTTGATTTTTTTTTTAACGTATGATTTTTATTTTTCTTCGTATATACCGGAACGGAGGAAGCAATATATACTACCATTAATCAAGGTTTCCTCATTTTTACTACATAATGTGAGATAACAAATGCTTACCATAAATATTATAATTTCCCCTTTTTATTTTTTGCCACGTATTCTATCCTGTTTTATTTTAATATTTTTTCAAAAATAACATATCAACATTTTTAATCGGTAATAAATTATTATTTATTAATTTAGTATTTTTTAATATGTTTTTTTTAATTATATATATATATATATATATATATATATATATATATATATATATATATATATATATATATATATATATATATATATATATATATATATATATATATATATATATATATATATATATATATATATATATATATATATATATATATATATATATATAATTCATAATTGAGATAATTATTTATCTTTAATTAATTAATTTTGTATACCTAATAAAAAACTAAAATAGTTAAACTATATATTTATTATAAGTATATAATGAGATTAGGGATGACAATTGGACTTATTTTCAATGGATAAGCGTAAAAATTATATAAAATAGATAATATAAAAATCCGTAAAATAAATATGAAAATGAACACGAGTAATTATCCACCAAAATATACAGATATGAATATGAATACTTTAATATCCATCCTCTTCCATACTTGCACGGTATATACTTATATATTTTTATTTTTATTATTATATATACATTATTAATTTATAAATTTTTATTAAATACATGACTGTTAAACTTGTATACATTATAATATAAATATTTGTTTGTTTTTTAATTCAACAATAATAATCTTGAATTTTCTTTTAATAAGAAATTTTAAAATGATAAGATAAATTAAAATTAATCAATTATTTTTATTAGAAAGATATAATATACATACTTAAGTACCTATAGAGTCAGGACCGACCCAATGCAGGTGCTGCAGCACTTGACCCTAAATTCAGGAGGGTCCATTTTTTTTTGAATTACTAAAAAATATTTTATATTTATTTTTTAACAACATGTATAAAATTATAGTTTGTTTTCAAAATTTATTTTATATTTGTTTCTAAAAAATAGTCTTAAAATCATATTTATTTTTAAATTTTATTATTTTATATAGGTTTTTAAAAAAATTTGATATGAATTAATATTTTTTTTAATTTTTTTAATTATAACAGAATTTTCGAATTGATTAGGCCAATTATATATATATATATATATATATATATATATATATATATATATATATATATATATATATATATATATATATATATATATATATATATATATATATTGATGCACAAATAGGTATGAATTCGGAGATGAGAATTTTGTCACACATGAATATAAAAACAGATACTATAATTTTAACTAAAAAAATTTCTGTTAGTTTCAAATATACAATTTTAAATTTAATTTCAATTGATTTTACAAATTAGCTCCTTCACCATAATATTGAAAATTCAAATATGTCATAATCCTTCTTAATCACTTCATTTTTTATTCTGCAACGGAACACTAGAGATATTTTTTTTATAAAAGTTATATACATGACACATATTTGTGAGTAAAAAATAAAATTAGTTTCTTTTATATTGCCAACATAAAAATGAAATAATTTTGATATACTTATTATAATTTATTATAACAAGTAGTCAAATTATTTATCTAGAAACAACTCAATTAAAAAGCAATTTAAGCGTCCAATTCAAACATTTTCTACTAACTGATTATTAAGATTTACTATATTTTAGATACTTCTTTTAAATAAAAGTATTAACTACAATTTTCCTCTGTTATATCTCATTCATAGAATTAGTCTTTCTATTCCAAGTTCAAACAGTCCTGGTCCTTTTCCTTAGATTTTTACACTTAAAATGATAGCGTGCCCACTTTTTAGTGTTGTATAATTTATATCTTTTTATCTTTACAGTTTTTTCAAAAGTTTTTGTTCAAAATCCATAGATGATAGGGATAGAGGTCATACTCATGTGAGAGATATAGAGTATATGAATATTCATGTGATAAAATAATAAAAATTTATTAAAAAGATAATAAAATGTGTACATTGTAACTTTATTTATAGATTCAATTGTATAACTAATTGGGCAACTAAACTTAATTAATTCCTTTTTCTTGTATTTTTGAATTGAGAATTCTTAACGTGTCTTCAATAGTGTGTTACTTATATTCACTGTTACAAAAAGTATATACAATTATGTTGTTTTTATTACGGTCTTTCAGAGAACTATAGTGATATATATAAATTCAAGCGCATAAAATCAACTGTAGTGATATCTTATACGTTTTATGAGTTCGATTCTCAGTGCCCGCTAATTCGTGATTTTTTTCTTTATTTTAGATAAGTCTTTCATTTTTATTTAAAAACGGAAGTAATATCACCACAGTTCTTTAAGCTAACCGTTGTGATATATTTTCCAATTTTTTTAATTTTTAATTACGTAAAACCTGACGTTTTTTTTTTGTGTGCTCTGGTTCCAAGAGGAAATCCGATCCTATGGTGGGGATCGGGGAGTGAGATGGATCCATGTTGTCCATAAATGGTATCCATGCATGTTGAGTCAGTTGTTGAGTGCATTTGCATCAATGTTGCATTTGTGAATAATCATTGGTAATATGTTGTTTGGATGAGAATACTTGATGTGTTGATGTTGTTATGATTAGTGTGGATACTTGTTGTTGTGTGATATTCCTACCTTTACTTATTTACATCGTTAGATTATGGAAGTGTATTCTCACCCTCTTTGATTTAATGTTGTCCACCTTGGACATCTTACAGATAACCAAGATTAAAAGTTACTGTTGTAAGTGGAAGATAGCTCTTGGAGTTATTTTCATCAGGTTATCGCATTTTTAGTGGTTTAATGTTCTAATTTTGTAACACTAAGTGGGTGAACGGCGTTACTATATTATTATGATTTTGTTAATCAAGATTTGAGTGTTATACTCTTGATGTTTGTGTTTATGTTGATTGTGGAGGCTTTTGCCTTATTTGCTTGAATTTCAAATAAAGTATTTTATGAGACTTATTAACTATGTAGCATGCTTATTCGATGAATTTCACTACATTGGTACACTAATTTTTTTATTAGGCAACAAGATGATTCTAATAAAATGAGTACAAGGGATACTCAAACTCGAACAAACAAAGCTACCTTCTAAACGTAAAGCAATCTAGTGGAGAGGTAAACCATTCAAAGAAATAACAACTAGAGTTTATTTTACAATGAGACCATAACCACCTCCAAGACATAAATTTGATATAAAATTCAAGCAATCCTCAAAATTAAAAGCGCTACCTTAAAACAAAACAAAATTCATAAACAACCAAATGTTCCAAGTAGTAGCTAACTAAACCAAACAAATACAAAGGCAGAAGTCCACTTCCTTCACAATACGAGAGTGATGAAGAAAATTAACAAGTTATTGCAACTTCAACATTACCTTGTCTCATATCTAACAAGCTACCGCCTTCTTAATTCGGGTAGAAATCGAACAAAAACCAAAGAGGTGAAGGGATGTTTCTTCTTCCGCAAAGCATAAAATGCAGCACCTATCCCTTACCGAAACCACCACACCTCTCTTAGCTAAATGGTCCCGAGTAGGCAGCCTGTTAATATTCAATCTCCAACCAAAAATAAGAATTCTAGTTGACGCTTTAATATCCCACAAGTTTCTCAAAGCTAACTTGATGTTACTAGACCAAAGAAAGAATGCTTCTACCTTGGACATAAAATCATAACAAAATTTCACAGAGAATTAACCTTCATCATTGTTCTCCCACCTAAATTCATTGGTTCCTACCTGCAGTCAAAACCAACATCCAACAACTCAAAAAATTCATCCACTCGCGGGTGAATCTCTTCTTCCAGATCCTCCCCTTCTCTTAAAACTTACCATCTCCAATCCCGACCATTCTACGAACCATTTTCAGCCATCATGCCGAAAGGATTTTCTGCTAGCTCAAAGATATCCAGATATGCTTCATTCAAATATTGGTTTACCAACCAACAACTATTCCAAAAAGAAGTTCTTCTGTCATTATGAACTCTACAATAAGTGTTAGATGAAAAAGAATTGATATTGTCATCGATCAACCTATCTACCATAATGAGATCTCTCCATCAAATCGAATCCTTGTTGTTGATCACTTTCTTATTACTAGTAAACATTTTAGACTTAGAATTACCGTATATATGCCGAAGAAAACCACTCCATATAGCCTATTTTTCCTTAACAATCCTCCATTTCTACTTAATCAAAAAGACTTTGTTAACCAATTAAATATTTTTGATGCCAAGACCTCCACTAGCCACTGGTCTATAGACAGAATCCCAATTAACCTAATGAATGGTTCACTTGTTCTCATTACCCCTTCACAAAAAGTTGCTTTGGATTCTCTTAATATCTTTCAAAACCTTTAAAGGAGCCTTGTAAAAAGACAAAGAGTAAATGAGAATAACGTTCAACACCGCGTTTATCATCACCACTCTACCACCCATAAAAAGATTCTTACCTTTCCATGACGACAACTTATTACGAAGATTTCTCAAAAGATCCTTCCACAAATAAACTTTCCTAGGGATGTCCCCTATCATCACACCTAAAAACTTACAAGGAAAATTATCAATACTACAAGACAAAAAGGAAGAAGCTATCAACATACTCCAATCAATCATAATGATCCCATAAATGTTACTTTTGTGAAAACTAACTCTCAATCCCGACATTAACTCAAACTCTCTCAAGACGGATTTCATGCTTAAAAGGTTATTGTCATCTCCATCCCCGAGAATGATGGTATCAACAACAAACTGATGAATGCCAACTTTAACTTCCTCGTTGACAAGAAAACCAAAGTTGTTATGGACTGGCCCGACAACTTGAATGGGCCCAGTCTAGAACTTTCCTTTGGTATGACCCGCACGTCTGTGACCTGAACCGCCCACTATCCATCGGGAAATATCAACCATTTTCCCTCCTAAGCCAGCACTGGCCTAGGATGATCGACGAGCATCCTCTCGGCCTGCCCGACATCAACGTCGTACAAGCCACCAGGAACTGACCAGAGAGATGCCCCTAACTTCCCCCTCCTCGGAACCAACAGCTAGTTACGGGCACATCTGCCCAGTTTGACCAAGTCTTGGCAGTTTATCTGATTTCATGGACCCACATATTCAGGCGTGAAATCAGGAACCAATGGCCATGTGCCAGGGGAATTATATAAACCCTCACACCAGTGAGGGCCAGGTAACAAATATTCACTATTCACCATCAATACCTTAATACTTTGCTTGTATCTCCTTGTTCCCATTCTTACTTGATCATCAGAGTGTCTTGCTGGTACAATCCCATTTTTCCTCCTCGACATCACAACCCGACTACAGATCATCTTCCGACCACTTTACAGGTTCTGATCGACCGATAAATAAGATTAATTCCACTGTCTGTGGGAAACTGCTCTCCCCATCTTTCTTTCCTCGAAACTTAAAGATCAAAGCAACTTTTCAAAATTCCTCTCACTAATCATGGCCGACCATGATGATCTCCATCTTCCTGGAAAGACTATTCTTTCCCCTGCTCACAAAACCGACGGAAGTCAGGAACATCCTCACCTCGAGGACAACCTGGGCTTCCAGGACTGACAGACTGCGTCTCCAGATTGAACTGATTCCCAGCACAGCGACGACCAATTCTTAGACAAGGGACGCCCCAAGAATCCCACCGAGGAACTACCGGAAGTCATGCAATGAGTTCCCATCCCTCTTAACACCGACCCAGCCATGGCAGCACTGCTCGCTGCTATCAATCAGACCAACTCCCTCATCCTATAATAGAAATAAAGGATAGGGGCCTGGGAGAACAGACAATCAATATCTCCTCCTTGAAGAACCCGACGATGAAACTCCCCCAGTATATCACCACCCAGGCGTGGCCTACTACCAAGAAAGGAGAGGCGCGACGTTTCTTTATTCAAGAAACACAACCGTACACCTCCTGCGAGAGATCAAGACTCCCCTTCATTCAAGAAGAGGAAAGACAATCAGAAAATCAATCGTGCTCGATTTCCTTCTCCCAAACCAAAGCAGAAACGGAGGAGCCCCTCCCCCCGGCGAGACTGTGACGATCGACGGGGAAGAAACTATCATTCCCTTTCTCCATCTCCGGCGGATAGTGAGGATGACGAGCCCCATGGCCCGCTATCGAGGGAGATTACAGAGGCCCCACTCCCTGTTAGCCTGAAAAAGCCACCTCCATTGGGAACTTTGTAATGATTCTTAGTTGCTTGCTCACAATCCATCTTCAAAAATAAACATCTTTTCAAACACACCAAACACTTTCAAAACATGAAATATTTTCAAAAAGTCCAACACTTTGTATGCATTCTTATAGAGACGAGAATCATTACAAAGTTTTCCTAAACAAAGGCGCTTTTCAAAAATCTTTCAAAATCCACCACAAACACATTTCAAACAAAGAAATTTCAAAAGCTATCTAGCAAGAAACTAAGAGCCCATAGATAACTATGGGTGAAAAGGATGCTAACACCTTTCCTTTTCATAATTTACCCCCCGAACTCAACAAAACATCTTGAAGGTTTTTCTTGTTCTTTTCACCCTTTCCTTATTGGATAAAAGAAAAGTCGGTGGCGAATCTTGCTATCCACAACAATTGAGATCAAACACAAAATACCCAAGTCAGTTCTCCCACCGTATTACACTTAGGATCAATTTTTGATACAAAGTAAGAGTTTGAAATTTGTTCTCTTGATCTGGTAGTAACTCCCTTGTTTGGATCTCCTATGATAAGCTCCTTAGTATGATCTTTGAGTTCTAATTGAAGGTCCTTTATTGAGGTGACTAGGCTGGGGATATTCTTGAGGAGGATTAGAATCAATACTTGTGTCATTTGGTTCAGTTGGACTATCAGGCAAAGATGTTCCAATATCTTCTGAGACATATGCTTCAACATTCCATCCTCTATCATCAATAGTAACATTTATTGATTCCATCATAACTTTAGTTATGGAGTTAAAAACTTTGTATGATATGCTGTTTGTAGAGTAACCCAGGAATATTCCTTCATCACTCTTGGGACCCATCTTCCTCCTTTGTTCACGATCAGCTAAGATGTAACATTTACTTCCAAAAACATGAAAGTATTTAACATTTATTTTTCTTCCCCTCCATATTTCATATAAAGTAGATGAAGTGCATTTCCTTAGAGTGACTCTGTTATGAATATAACATGCAGTATTCATAGCTTCAGCCCAAAAATGGTAGGGTAGCTTCTTAGCATGAATCATGGCTCTGGCAGATTCTTGGAGACTTCTATTCTTGCATTTTACAATCCCATTATGTTGAGGAGTAATGGGAGAAGATAATTCATGGCTTATTCCTTCAGAGGAGAAAAACTCAACAAATTTGTTGTTCTAAAATTCCTTTCCATGATCACTCCTGATTCTTATGACATGACTTTCCTTTTCCTTTGAAGTTTTTGACAAAGATCTTTGAACACTTCAAAAGTTTATGATATTTCTCTAATAAAGCTTACCCATGTGTGTTGTATCCCAAAATTTTCCCTCTCATTTTACTCAACACATGCCCATTGAGGTCCTCAAGTTGCTCAAGGATACCCAAGAGTTGACCAGACAAACACTCTCCTAAGGCAATGTACCCTAAATTAGGGTTTCCATTTTCATCAGGGTGTGGGAGCTCCAAAGGTCCCAAATGTGGTCCTAATATGTTCTCAAGATCATCCATGTCAAGTTTTATGCCTTGCACAAGAGATTTGCTCAATCAACTGCTCAGATGCCTAAAAATCAATTGTACTATGTCAAAAGTCAATTGTGGCCCACATACAGTAAAACTTCAAGATTTTTGGTCAACATCAAAATTTTGGAGTGATATTCATCATTTGATCAAGGGTTGATCATGATTCCCCAAGGAATGCCCCAAATTCATCAAAACCCAAAAGTTGCTAAATTAGGGTTTCTCAAGAAAAGTCAACCAAACTTTGACCAAGCCTAACTTCCTCATACTTTATCATAAATTTTACATCCAAGGCTCATTTTGAAGAGGATGCAATTCCTTACAATTCATCTTCAACCCACAAGTTCAAAATATGCACTCATCAAAAGATATGAATTTCTACATTATGGGTCTTTTTGAAAAGTCAACAAAAACACCTTTTGGGTCAAAGCTTCTTACATGAGAATGGAAGACCTAATTGAGATGAGACCAAAAGGGTTGTTTAGGGGACATCCTAATATTTCTAAAAAGTCCAAGAACACCTCTCTAGGGTTAAAATTGGAGGAGATATGCCTTGTCAAAATTGACCATTTTTGTAAAATTGCCAAAAGTCAAATATGCTCAAAAGTGCACTTTTTGTCAAATGGGTCTAGTTTTTCATGATTGAATCTTTCTTATGACATGGTCCACGATCCAAATTAGCACCCACACATCTTTTGCTTTATTTATTTATTTTATTTTGATTTTTATCATTTAAAAGTCAAATTAAATCAAATAAATAGCAAAAAATATCAAAGATTTGTTTTGTGATCAAATTTTGGGTGGAATCAAATTCAATTAGGCTGGCAAATCATATCCAAAACGTGCAAAACAAATTGAACCAAAATTGGCATGATTTGGCTTGATATAGAAAGATATCATACAAGGATAAAGACCAAATCAAATATTCATAATGGACTAAGATTTAGCTCATTTTTGTTGACCTAATGTATTCCATTACATATATAGAACAAATCCAATGCACAAAAAAGATGATTGGAGGTCGTAAAAGCTGCAAGTAAGAATTAAAAATTGGGAAAAAAAGTGGTAGACTGATTTCCAGTTTAGAGGCCGATTCAAAGACTTTCCAAGCCACCAATCGATTCCTAGGCATCTCCAGAACGTGTCCCAATCATTTGCCAGTCCTCCCAAGCCCAGAAACAGGACATACGATCATCACAGTTTGCATTCTTTTTCAGATTTCATTGTTATGATTCTTGCATCATGAACATGTTCCAATGATATATTTGTGTTTGTTGTCATGTTTGCAAAATGTTTGGACCATTTGATTGAAGTTTTAACGCCCGTATGAATATTTG